CTCCCCAGCGCTGAGGCATCCAAAGAAGCTTTCGAACGCTCCGAAGAGAACGACACCACGGAGCATCTGGAGGGCTCAGAGCACTTAGGTGGGTCCGAGTCCGAGGCAGCCGAAGTCGCTTTGCAGCCTATTGACGACACGTCCCCTCCTGAGAACTGTGCCGGCAAGAATTGGGTTTGTGGGGTCCTCGTTACCTGCAGAGCATTGTAGCTTGTGCCGAGGGCGCACGAGACGAAGATTGCCGTGTCGCAGCACGCCTCGAGCCCCATGGTGGATACGGTGCTGCGCTGAAAACTACACTAGTTGTAGTCCAGCCTTAGCTAGATCCGCTTGCACATATAGGATTGGCAGGTGGTGGAGACGCTTGATTTTGGACTTTTCTCAGCGACACCTCGCTTCGGCGAGCTCTTGAACCAGAGCGTCCCTGTCATCTGGATCAGCCTGGTCTCTCTATGGCCTGGCCTACTCTCCAGCTTCCTGCAGATGATTTGGTGTGTTCCGGTCCAGGAGGACGATGTCATCGTCAATCGCCTGCTGCCCAACCCTTCAATAGTATGCTGGTCCGACGACCACCTGGTTTCTGCCCGCATCGCGATTGCTGGGCTCGTGGTTTGGTGCCTTGGCATCCCGCTCACGCTGGCCGTCCGGCTGCTACTCATCCCAGATAGACAGTCTCCAGAGAACTTCAGGCCTGAAAGAGGGAGGGAGAGGGAGGCTTTATGAGGCTTTTGAGAGAAAGTGAGAGAGGGCGGGATGAAGAAGACCCTTTTTCGGCCCTGCCGCAAGGCGCTTCGGCTTCTTCTTCCAGGGCCTGGAGCCGAAGTTCTGGTGGTGGGACCTCCTGGTTAAGCGTTTGGACATGGCCTCAGATATGCGGTGACGATCTGAAAGCCAGCGCTCGCGAGTCTCGTGAGTCTAGTGTCTCTGTATGAAGAGATAAGGACGTGGCCTTGATGATGCTTCTCACCTACACTTCTGTGGTGCCAGATCCGAAAGGCAAGCTCATGCTCTTCCCCGCCCTCTCCGGCTTCCAGGCGACGAAGCCCAGCTCTGCAGCCGGGACCTGTATGTGTGTTTCGTCTGAGCTCCAAAGCGCATGACCCCGACTTCGCCCGTTCGCGCCGGGACCGAGTGAGGCTCACGTAGTGCCTGATGCTCCGTCGAAGCTTCCCCGAATCCCGCAAGCACTTGCCCGACAGGCATTCCCTATCCCCCACCGTGCCGTTCGAAGCGTGTTGCCACGGATTCGGAAGATGCTAGATGGCTTGTGTCCACCTTGTTGAGGTAATGATATAATGATATGTTGCCGTAGTCCTGAAAGCTAAGCTCCAACTCTTGCCCGTGGAGGTGTATTTGGCAGCTTGGGTCAAGCCCTATGCAAACGATCAAGCCGAAATCCTTGATGTCGTGGAGGCCATCGGTCCATGTTGAACTCCCTGTGCTGAGCCGGAGCTTGGCAGCAGGTGACACTGTCCGCGATCCGCTTCCTACTCTTCTTTGCCGTGGCGTCACTTCTCA